AACTATTTTTTGTTAGAAAAAAAAGATAATAAACTATTTTTTTAAAAAATCACGCAAACTTATTTCCAGGTAGTGTAATTAAGAAGTTGTAACTCAGTAAGTTGTAACTTAAGTTACAACTTGGTAGTAACCCCCTTATAAATTTATTTTAATATAAAAATTCATAAATAGTTGCAACTCAAAGTATTGCAGCTTAAGTTATAACTAGTTAAAAATTTTAAAATTAATTATGGGAAACATCTTTAGTTAAAAGTAATATATTAGATACATTATAAATGAAATTACTTAACAATAGGAATTAGTTGTGATAATAAAAATTTACAAATCAAAGTGGCTAAAACACCTTTATGTAATAATTAAGTGATGTCATTTTATATCATATTCATTATCTTATTATAACTGACCAAAAATAATGCTATATAAAATTTACGATAATCTATAAAATAAGGTATAAATTTTTTATTTTTATTTTTTATAATATACAATTTATTGATAATAGAGGATGATACTATAATATAATCAACATCTTTTATAATTAACTTAATAAAGATAGTTTCAAGTAAAGTATAAATTTAAAGAATTGGTATATCTAAATTATCACATTATTTATTAAATAAATAGAAAGTACCAACTTATCACATCTAAAGATCCTAACCTACAATTCATAAGATTATAAATTCACAAAATATTCAATTAAATGATGATACAATTAAAAAAATTCTTACAAGGAAATAATTTTAATAATTGAAATATTACTAAAAAAATGATTTTTTCTGATATTATAATATTACTTCTGTATAATAATAGTTTTAATAACAATAAATAATATATAAATATTTAGCTGATACAATAAACTTTAATCAATACAGTGATTTTCATAATTATTGCATCACCCTATTTAATTTTTTTAAATCATAATTCTGTAAAATTGAAGTGATTATCTAATTTTAAAATTTAACTAACTTTAAGGCTGTAACTTTATTTTTAATAAATATAAAACTTGATAAGCATTTTATTTGTGACCTTTTACAAAACTTTTAAGTTGTGTAATTTTTTGTGAAATAATATTTATGGTACTAAATTAAAAATGATTAACCAATTCTTATGAGATGCGCCTTAATAAATATAAATAAATCTAATTTGTAATCACTTTGTATTACTTTTCCATAGAATTTTTTTGCTTTATAATGAAGCGATACACTATTATCAAAAGAAACATATTATTACCTTTCTTCAGTAGGAATATTCAAGTTGTTCTGTAGCTTTTCGTAAAAATGTTAGTTATTTTTCTATAATAAGTATCAAACAAAGGAAAGAAAAAACTGTAGTCTTGATGTTATTCCAAAACCAGGCTATCATAAAATTCTACAGGGTGTCATAATAGAAATATTGCAAAACTTATAAAGTCAGATGAATGCTTTAATGCTGTTCAAATCCAAAAAAGTTTAATTTGTAATGAAAATATTAATATTTCTTCAACTACAATTCAGTGTTCATTAAAAGGAAAAGGTCTTGTAGCTAGAGTTAAAAAAACCATTGCTCTTAAAGAGACATAAAATTGCTCAAAAAAGTTTGCTAAAAAGTTTTGTGATTGGACTATAGAAGATTGGAAAAGGGTAGTGTTGTCAGATGAAAGTAAATTTATGATTTTTGGTTCAGATAGCAGGGAATGGGATTAGAAGAATCCAAATTTACCTTTGCAGCCACAACATATTAAACCAACTGTTAAGTTTAGTGGGTTCTGTGATGATATGAGATTATATAGGTGAATTTGGCATGGGATTATACTGTAAAATTGATGGAAGAATGAATGGAGACTTATATTGAGACATTTTAAAAGATGAGTTCCTTGGAACTCTTAGCATATGTGATTTAACTGTAAATGATGTCATTTTCAACAGGATAATGATCCAAAGCATACAGATAATAAGTCAATTGAATGATTTGATGACAATCATGTTGAGGTTTTGGATTGGCCAGCATAATCGCCAGACTTAAACCCCATCGAACATTTGTGGAATGAAGTTGATCATCATTTGCAACAGCTTCCTGATAATATTACCAGTGCAGAAGATTTGTGGAATAAGATTTAACTAGATTGATGTTAATGTTTGTTTGTTTAAAATTAATTAACACAATGCCACAACGGGTTAAAGATGTTCTTAAGGCAGGTGGAGGATATACGAAGTGGTGATTGGATTTTAAAAAAAAATTCAAATAGGGTTAGTTAAAAATTTTATTGAAAAATATGTAATCAAAATTTTTTTTTGATATATGCCAAAATTTTTGCACCGCAAAGTTTTGATGATTCAAGATTTTTTTTTTTAAAAGTCAATAATATGCAAATTTAATTTTAATAAATAATAAAGAAAGTCTGAGGTTTAATAATTAATAAATTCTTTTTTATTGTATGATAAATAGATTTAACGATATTACAATTTAAAAATTTTAAACGAAGTGGTGCAATAATTATGGAAGTCACTGTATATACAATTAATTTAAACACATCTATTGATGATTTTTTATAATATATTCCGCTTTATAGCGACTCCGCTCGCTTAAAAATAAATCACAATATGCACGATGAAACGATAATTGGTGACACAAAAAGATAAACCGCAAGAAAAATACAATTTAAGAAGAAAATTTAGTCATTTGAGCCCGTCAATAAAATAGTTTTGTTTATTATGTCTCGTGACTGATTTATTACTGATTGATGTCGTCATATGTATATAGATTAATATTTAACGCGTTTATTGTAAACAATAAACTTTTAATATTCTATTTATTGTATAACGTGAAGCATAAAAAATGCTATATATATCTCCCATCTTTTTTTTTAAAATTTACTCTTTCAAAACATTTTATCATTTTTCTTAATATACAAAAACAAATATAAAAAATTCTTTTCGCACGGCACAGCACACAATAACTCAAATATGTCTAATTACAAAAATGAAGAATTTTTCGAAAAAAACACAACAATGAATGAAGAATTGATGAAAATGCATAAAGAAGCTTTGCAAACTGTAAAAAATCAATCCGAAACACTTAATAATATATCATCAGCACTAAATAATTTATCGAAATTTCTCATAACTACTTCTACTTTGTCTTCAACATCTTCAACGTCACCAACGTCTTCCAAAATTCTTAATAATATTTGTAATTTTTGTAATGTAGATGGTCATTGGATATATAATTGTCCTCAAATACCAGCTGAATATCGAAATAATTGTTTTAGATGTTGGGAAAGTAATAATCATTTAGCTAAAGATTGTAAAAAAATTCAAAAACAACCACCATGGAAAAATTAAAAAAGATTGTAATTTTTTTTTGAGGTATTTTCTTATTCTCTTTTTTTTTGATAGGAGAACTCATTTCTATATATTTTTTTTGAAGGAATTATTTTAATATGAAGATTGTTTTGTTAATTTTTTTTTTATTCTGGTTTAACAAGTGGTGAGATTTCGGTGGAATTTCTGGATCAAATAAAAAATTTTTTATTTTTTATTTTTTTCTGATTTCTATATACTCTACTGATGCGATACCCAATAAAATAATAAAAACTTTAAAATTTGAAAATTTTAAAATTTTTAAAGTCAATTAAATTATTTTTTTGTCAACATTAGATTTTATAAATTAGTATTTATTAATAGAATGGCCAGCAATCGTGCAAAAACTGACAGTCGTATTCTTATTTTTTATCCAAATGTATTCCAGTTGAATCATGATATAATTAATTTCTGGTTTATTTAACATGCATCGGTCTTGTTGAATTTGTGAATGTAGTAGCGAGAAAATTAATCATAAATATTTTCTGACAATATTTATATAGGTCTTAATTTCTTAGCTTATATTTTTATAATTTTCAGGACTTCGTTTAATAAATGTTTTAAAGTAAGCATCACGTGATAGTTCAATAGTTCAATTAGAGGTTGGAACGATTAAAGTTTATAGGTCGGTTCCAAACTCTAATAGATCAATCTTAATAATTTGAAAATAAATGGTTAACATCTCCTTTTATTTTTCTTTACGGGAATAAACATAATATAATATGTAAGTATTATTATATTTAAGCAAGCAAGGAATAATTGGCTAGAGGTCACATTAACAAAAGTCATATCGGCCAGAATATATTTAATTCTGAACAGGTGGTATTCGAACGGATTCTCAATCTATGGTATTACTAATATCAGATGAGTTATGACATTTCTATAGTTCATAATTTCCACGATATAACAGATATTGATACAGCTACTGGAATAGATGAATTTTTAAGTAATAAATCGAAGCTGTGCTTTTTCCTTACCGTAACAAAGTATCAAAGCGCCCAATCTCTAACTTGTCACAATGCAAACACAGTCATAATGTAATTATTTGGATTTATTTAACTATTGTATGCAGTTAATGACAGAATATAATAAATACATGATGTATCGATTCTGTGGTAAGGGATGGTGGTTGCTTCAAATGGTAGCAGAACAATGGAGATTTTGTCTCATGTATCAGTTATTGATCAAAGTCAAATTTCTCTGAATGAGTGAATCATGAGAAGAGAAAGTTGAGGATTCATGGTAGAATGCCATCCTTTACTATTGATTCAAATCAAATCAAATATTTGAATACTTGATTTGAATTTGATCGAATCGAATCTAATTTCCTGACGTTTTGATCCATTCTCCATCCCATCTTGCCACAAAATCTCATTGTTAGCGTGGATCAATAACTAGTGTAAAAATTGATTATTGTAATTAAAAGGTCGTGGTCAAATTGCTTTTATATGCAACAAAATATCAAAGTACACAAAGAACTTGTTTATTCCACATCACATATTATATTTGCTACCATAAGATAACAAAATCCATTCTTTTCTTTCTAGTGACAAAGAGTGGTATAGTATTTAATCAGGATCATTGTTATTATATAAAATATTTTATTACATTTAAGATTTACAATATCAGAACCAATATATATATAACTATCAAAACTGACAATTAAAATACGTAACGTTATTTACCCGCAAAACTTTTAATCCATTCTTTAGCTTTATCAATCATAACTTTCTTTTCTTTTTACCCACCCAATTTTTAATCCATTTTTTAGCTTTATCAATAATAAAGATTACTTTCTTTTCATCTCCAACCATTTTCTTTAAAGCATTTTCGGCTTTTTCATGACACATTTCACATTCATCCTTAAATTTTTCAAATAAGACAACTTCCAGATAAGCTATAGCAATACAAGTACTTAAAATTTCTTCAAATTCTTCAATATCACCTGCTCTTTTGATTTTTTGCATTAAATCTGAGAAATCATTTACATCATTTTTATAAAAAAAATTATAAAATGATACGATTGGTAAGAATTTGCCGTCAAATGATTGTAGACTTAAAAATTCATATAAATTGTCGGTATGTGGTTCTTTATGTTCGAAAGTAATTGCTCGTTTGTCGTTGGTCGCTCTAATTGGAAAAATGCTTTGTGATGAAAGGATTACCAATTGCATATAAAAAGTGATAAATTTATTCCTGACCTTCTTGGCATTATCATTCGACTTTTTAACATGTATTTTGCATTTGAATTACTTGAAAATGGTTCTGCAAATGATTAATATTATAAAGTAATAACGAATAATATTAATATTATTTCATCTCAAAAATATGCCAAAAATTTTTATTATTTTTTAATCAGACTTACGTGACATAGAGCTATATCCAAAACTTTGTTGAGGAACTTGTCTTATCTGAGGGATTGTATTGGCTTCAGATACAACTTCATTATTTCTTTCGTCAATTGCAATAAAACTACAAAATAAAGTAATAATAACTCTATCATAAAGAAATGTATAAACATATAAACATATAGATTATATATATACCTGGTATTTTTTGAAGCTAGATTAAATGTTTTACCAAGGTTAACAATATGTTCTTTAACCAATGAAGCCGGAATATGTTTACCAGAATTTTCAGGATGTTTATGAAGAAATGATTTTCCATCATCAAGATCTTGAATAAGTTTTCTTGCTGCTAATCTATGAATCTTTGAACCTTGCAAAGTAACGGGATCCAAAGAAATATCAAGTTTCATTGGACCATCTTGAGAAGTTGCATTTAAAGTGATAGCTTGACACGGTTCAATATTTTTCTCCAAAATGCAATATACAATGAAACGAACACCAGGATAAATAGGTGGAATTAAATAAGGAGCTTGTCGAATCTTAATATCAGTAAAGATATTACTTGGATGTGATGGTAGAGGTTCCGTCTTGTCGCTATAAAAGCTAATTACAGGCTCATCTTCTTCCATAGTAGTTACATCCTTTTCGGTTGATTCCGAGAAATTAACGTCTGTCCAAGTAATTTTATAATCTTTGATCGGTGGTTTTAAAGCATTTTTTAACATTCCAATAAGTTTTTTATCCATCCTTTCATTAGTTGTTACAAATTGGGCGTATCCTCTCCCAGCACGAGCAACAGATTCCACTAAATTATGAGAAACAGAACCACCAATTCCTAAAGAAAAAAGGCGTAAATCATCCTTCTTTTTTTCTTCCTTTTCACGTACAAGTTTTACAACTTGTTCAACATCAAAAATTTCTCCGTCTGTAATGAGAAATACGGAAGTTGACATATCATTTCTTGAATTCTTAAATACCCATTTTAATACTTTAAAAATATCCGTTCCACCGTAATCTGAGGTCATTGATTGAGCAAGATCAATAGCCTGAGATAATGATGTTTCGGAATAAAGCCGACTTTTTGGGAAAAGAGAATCATGTCTAGATCCAAAAGATACTACATTAAAGTAACAATCTTCTGGAAGAGAGCGTAATAATAACTCAAGCGCTTGCGCAGCCTTTTCCATAGGTTCGAAGCCCATTGATGCGGATCTTTATGATAGAATGTTAGAAAACATTATTATTTTTTTTTTTAAAAAAATAAAAAGAATAACTTACCTATCCACAACGAAAATTAACTCAGTCATGGTTGTATTTAACGCGAACTTTGGAACCAAAGTTAACATAACACAATTTGATTCCGTTTCAGGATTGTATTCAACAAAAGCTCTGAAAGAATTTTTTTAAAAAAAATATGGATTAATTAAGAAATTTATTTAACAAAAAAAAAAAATTATTATTGCATAAATATTACCGAGGTTTATCAAGATCTTTACTCTTAACCACAAGAATGAAATCCTTTTTCAGATAAGTAATCTGTTCGGCCAAAGTAATTTTAGAGATTTTAGGATTTTCATCGATGTTCATTTCAGTAGAAATTTTATGTGAAGGTGATTCAATATTTTGAATAATTGAAGTCATTCTGCAAGTAACTGTAAGATCTAGATAATAATCAACATTCTTCGAATAAGATACAACACCAGCTTTAAGTCTTTTCCCATGTGATGATGATGATGTAGATGAACCATATCTCGGTGCGAGGTGAGTTGGAAGAACAAAACGAATTTTTTCGGTTTCAGAATCATGTTTAAGTTCGGTAACGTATGTAATCTTTATAACTACAGTTTGCTCGGATAAGATATTTCCAACAGAACATTGAAATATGTCTTCAGACTCAGATTCTAACAAATAAGCACCATGTCCTTGCTAATCAATTAAATTATTATTTATGTTAATTTTCATTTCATAACGTACACGCTATAATATCAATTTAAAATGGACCTTTGAAATTTTACCTGAATTGATTCAGTGTATTCTTTAGCGGCTTCTTTTGCTTCTTTAACGATACCCTTTATTTTTCTTTGTCCATCAATTTCCGCTTCAAATCCGCAGACGGCCGCGGCTTCATAAATTGGAAACTTATAAAGAGCTTCAATGGTATCTTTTTCAACATTTTTATAAGTTTGGCTGATAGTAACTATATAAAGAATTATATGATTATGATATGTTACAGGCTTACAATACAAATTCTTCATTTAATACGAACCTTCTGCGATCATATCAACGACTAAAAGGAATGTTAAAGTTAATAATTATTTAAAACATAATATTTGTATAATCAATATAAACTTACCATTAGCATTAACGACAACATGCTGTAAAGGAATCGGCTTAATCTTGTTATTGATCACAAAACAAAGACCATGAATTAGCATCTCGGCAAAATAATGTTCGGATGTTTGAGTGGATTGGGAAACAGGTCATTTCCCAGCAACTTTTATATCAACAAATCACGTATTATCACTAAAATTTCCCTTTACCTTTATTGAAGCAATTTGCATTATATTATATTTTAATTGTACAATAAATAAACATTACATTTTTTCTCACTTGTCATGTTGCTAATAAATATGGTAACGATCTCCAAAAAAATGACATCTTTCCAAGCATATATCAAATTTGGAATTAGAATACTGTAATATCCTCAATCCAATATAACAATACATTTCTTATCAAATGAAATATTTGAAAGAATTTTCGATATCACAGTATAGATAGAGATGTAAATACATTTGTTCTTTATTAGTAAACTAGGGAAGGAATAGAAGGTAATTTAAAATTTCAACTTGAAGCGATTATACAAAAAAAAAAAGGGAAGAATCGCTTTACCTTAACACTTCAAGCTTAAAGAATAACTAAAAGAACAATGGCAATAAGGCAAAATCTTCGTTCGCTGCCTCTTCAAAGAAATATTCCGAATTCATTTCTTATCAATCACAACTTATGTTCTTAAAAAATTTTTTTTTGTGATTGTCCGCGTTCAAAAGAATCGCTGCCATAAATTTGAATATTAACATTGTGTTGCATTCAGTTCTTTGTTTATTTTTATAAACGAATGTAATATGTTTTTTAATTAGTAATAATTATTCAAAAATTACTCTTTTTGGCGGGAGGCCGATTTGTTGGTACGTTGATCTCCCAAATCTAAGATCAGCTTGTGCAGATCACTAACCATTTCAAGCAAACAATACATGCTGGGAATAAATAACAATACATCGAAAAGTAAATAATACTAATTATCGTAACAATTGCGATCCTAAAATCGATTCAACAATTTCGATCCCTAAATAAATTGCATTTGCTGAAATTTTTTAGTGAGATGAAATTCCAATAATTTTTTTTCAAAATAAATTTGCAATCCATTATTATACAAACATACAGTACGTTCATATTAAATTACTAGGTAATGGGAACATTTGAAATTTCACAAATAGAGCTTCACCAAAGAATTGGAATACAAAAAATAACATTACACATTTAACAAATTGACGTCCCATAATTTAATTACAGATTCGCAAATGATGCATATCTGAGCACAGGCTAAGCAGACTGATGGTCTGGTTTGATGTTCTGGTGTTTTATTTTAACTACCATGCTGAACTTGATTTTCTTCGATTTCATACTGCGAATAAAAATTGGTAAATCGGGATATAATATTTAATGTTTAATACTTTTCTCTTTTTCTTGGATTATTTAAAATAGACCGAACCCCTTGTGTTTTAAAAATGTCCAATTATTAAACATACACATAAAATCAGAATTATATAACAAAGTAAAAAGCAAATCATATACGTAAGGTAGCACCATATTTAAAAATTTAATATTTACTAATAAAACTCATCAAACACTCTTCGGTTAGTGTAACCTTGAGATTCACAAAACTTGATATACTTTATGCTTAAATATTGCCCATTAACGGCTTTAAATTTATTCTATCAGATTTAGGTCCATCGGAATTGTTGTTCAATCGATACGTTTAATGTATCAGGTTTGGGAAAAATGAATGATTATTATTTGGTAAAAATTTTTAACATTTCTTTGCTTTAAAAATAAAATTAAAAAAAAATTTTTTTAAAAATAAAAAATTCTAAATGGACTTTCGTTTAATTACTTTATAGCTGGTGGAATGAAATATTTCAAATATACCAACTGCAAGAATGCGCAAAAATATATTTGTTTGGATGGAGAGATTTACATGTAAGAATGGTTGATACTGAGAAGTTAAAATAACCTTGATCATATAATCAATCATCATATAAGTAAGCTTTAATCATTTAGGTAAAAAATGGTATTATTAAAATATAGTTCATTTATTATACCTTGTATGGATAATCTATTATATTTATATTGTTTAAAAGAGAAATCGGCTTTGTGAATATAATTAATTGGTAAATTTGTTTCCTTGAAAAAATGAAAAAACTTACGATTTTTTTAAACAAGAACTAATGTCAAATCTTTTGAATGAATCTGTACTTACGACGCCAGTCAACATCTTTTACAATAGCTCTGAGTGAAAGGTACAAATTTAAAAAATATTCATGTCTAAATTATCGTATTATTTATTACATAAATAGAAAATACCAATTCACCACCATCTATTTCTGAAGAATCTCGCGTACCATTTCAAGAAATTATAAATTCGCAAAATATACGATGTATGAAAACTATTAAAAAAGTACTTTTAATAATTGTAATATTACTTTTAATATTAATCATTAAAATTGTATTTTTTTCTAATATTGTAATATTACAAATAATATAAATAGTGTTATCTTATATTTTAAATCTTAATCAATATATAATAAAAAATATCTAAAAAAATTAGCACGTTATATCGCATATAACCGTTAAAATGTTGACATGCGCGCGCATAAAGATGCGTCGTACAAAAATTAGTTTATTTGAAAAAATAATTGATCATTGTGTTACACAGAAAAAAAATTTCAAGCGAAAACTTTCACACTAAAAAATGACATGCTCATAGAATAGCTTTCGAGTCATTTGAGACAGATACTTTCGATTATTTATAAAGGAAATCTAGTTTGATGCACTATTATTTTAAAAGTCATGAATGGTATCAAAATTATATATAAGGTTCTGAGATTGTCAGGCATAAGACAAACTTTTATCGTGACCTATTTCATGCTAGGTTTTTTTTTAACAAGGCTTCGTTCGTACAATAAAAGCACTTTTGAATACACAAACATATATTTCTGCGCTTCGAAGTGTATCTAAATGAGCAAACTCCACTAGCTATGGAATTTTGTATTTAGGAAAAGTTAACACAGAAAATAATATTAGTTTTAGATAAATTCGGTGATGAAGATGACAGATGGCATTTTAAGATAAATTAGCTTGAGAATGAACCAATTTTTTTAACAAAAGAATTGATACTTGGCATTGAATTTACAAAAAGGATCAGTAATAGAATGATTGAAGGTTCTCATCTTTATTCGAATATGTATGAATAGACAATAAGCAAGGTACATTGAACATAATTATATGACAATTATATTTTGTTTCTTGTTGATGTACTAATTTTATTACATTTTGTTTTAATTCATAACAATGAAAGTTTTCGATATAAAAGAGAGATGAAAAAAACATGCCTATCGTTGTTAAGTTCACGTAGTTTATTAGAAAGATATACTTATCAAGTTCTGCTCAATTCTTGGATCATTAGTTATTGTTAAGAAGTAAGTACAACTGATTATCGCTTCGTTCTCATGTATAAGAAATCAGATTATCTTTTATCTAACGTCTAGATGTCTCCTTGATTCTTTAATAATAATAAGAGAGCGCGAGGGCGTACAGATTACAGTTTATTTGACATACATAGTATTTTTTGATATCGATGGCATTACAAATGACATCGGTGATAAAATCGGTTTCTCGTGTTGCATTTTTGTATTCTGACGGAATTTCCGCTGCATTAAAATTAAAAATTCATTCGTTTGAAAAAAAATGACAATACAAAACAATTGATAATTCTATAAATCAGGTTTCTTTATTTTTACGTGTTCATGAATTGTTATTCGAGTACAACAGAGGAACTTTCGGAAATATTACGCCTCATCTTAATTATTAAACCAAAAAGATTTTGTGACCTAATTTCGATCGATCTATACATAGTATATCTTGTAATATTTACTTTTATGGTTTAACTGTTTGTTTATTTATTTTTTTTGTCCAACAATAATACAATTCGATTTTGATGAAATCGCACAAGAAAAGATTTCACTGGCTAATCACATCACACGACTATTTTTTTTTTTTTTTTCCTTTTGTTGTACAAATATTTACGAATTTCTTTTTGTTAAATTGACTTTTATGGTAGATCATCAAAATGCGGTAAATTTAAATCGAAACTTCCATTTATATCAGCAAGTGAAATAAACTTTTTTTGTTACCTTTTTTTTTTCATCACATCATAATTGAATATCTTATACATAAAAAGATTAATAATTAATGAAATTCGGGTACACTTTCTTCTTAACATTTCTGTTGATTTCAATACATTCGTTTAATTACCAGTAAATACTTGCAACAAATTCATTGACGTACGATAATGCAATAGTTTGAATTATACTTAACTTTAAGGACAATAATAGACGATATGAGAATTGTATGCGCATCGTTATCGCGTAAGAAAAAAAATAAGATTCTTTTAGGTTACGAAATACACGGTTTACGTTACATAACACCAAAAAGAGAACGAGAATGTAGAAAATTTTTTTTCGAGATTTGTTATAAAATGGCTAAATATTTAACAAGCTTTTTTTTCTTCAGATTTTTTATAAATCGCCAAAAAAAAAAAAATAATAATAATAATAAGAAAAAAAAAAATTTATAAAATATATAAAAAAAATATTAATTCGTAATATATTATGAAAATGAATAAAATAAATGCCGTTATCGTTCTTCTCTTGTTACAGGTACATTAATATATATAAACAACTTTTTTTTCATCTACCTTTAAATAAAATTTTTTAACAGTATTATGATAAAAATTAGGCAATTATGATCTCTGCCCAAAAATTAAAGTTTCAGTTTCATACTGTTAGGATTCCTTCAAGTGGAGCATGGTTAAAATGTGCCGAGTCTCCATCAATGATCAGTAAATATCATTTTTTTTTTTTTTTTTTTTTTTTTAGGTAGAACTCAATTTCACTAACTAATTGTTCACTTTATTAGGCTACGCTATACAATTGGCTAGTAAAACTGACTCATTGGATCCAACTTATTATGGTGGCGATTATTACAAATTAAAGGATTACAAAGCTACTGAAGTAGGCTATGGATTCTACGCTGAGGTTACCGATTTAACGTATGGTATTACAGGATTTGTATGTGGAGAAATGGGTCCAGGAGCATCAGTTGCTTGTACAAGAGAAGGTCCAATTTACAAGAAAGGAATTTGGTGTTTAGCTATAGCTAATCCATTTCTCAATGACATAAATGTTGATGTTGTTGTATCGTTCACTCAAAGTGTGTTTGTAGCAGGTACTTATAGAAAGGATCCTAACGAAGATGATACCGCCATAGGGAAATCTGGTCTGTCATATAACAAAACTCCTAACAAAAAGAGAAATTTGGGACGTAGTAAAACACTTCGTCTCGATGGCTCCTATTAATTAAATTTTATATAACAGAATAAATTTGTCAAATTTGTCATAATCAAATGATTAGATTTTAATTTAATTCGTAATAATAAAATTTTCTGGTTATTCTTTTTTTATGAAATAAAGAATACTTCAATTTTTAAAGAAACTTTTTTTGATAAGAACTAATAAATAAATTGATCTTTCTCATCTAATATAATTTGAAAACACTGAAACAAGGTTTTAAACACACAACACGATCGGAGTTGAATTTTCCAGGAAAAATTCAATATTTCATCATTACCGGATATATAATCTGAAATCGTACAGGAAATTATTTATCAATGAATCATTTAAAATTATATAAGTTTAAAATATAATAAATTGATTTGTTAATTATTACATTTTGAAATGACATTGGTTAATGCTTTATATTCAGTTCATCTTTTTTTATAGCTACCACTTGATTTTCTAATTTAGATACGTCCGATAAATGTAATTGAATTTTATATCCCCCCTTGTGGATAAGAATTAGTCATATTTTTTTGAAAATTTTCAAAATGTTCAAGCCATTTTTTCGTTGCTTTTTCTGTATGAAAGCATGTAAGATATTTTTAGATAAAATGAAGTCGCTTTTTTTAATAAAACTTTAGATGTTTTTGGTTGAAATATGAATTATTTAGAAGATAACGAGCAATATTAAAATTGTTTATTATTATTTTTTTGATTTCATTTTTAATTATTTAGAGAAAGGTGAAAATTGTTAAAAAAAAATTTATTGCTAAAAAAACGTTTAATTTATTGTTAGATTGCATAATAAAGACAATATAAATCTAAACCGGACTGACGATTGAACTATTTTTTTTTTCTGTGCTCAGGATCGGCTTTTAGAAAAAACTAGAAACCAGATAAGAACTTGCAGATGACTTGTAAAAAATATTTGGCGTCAGCATTAACATAACTCGATCCCGACCTGACCGATAATAGCTCAACTCGGAACTAGGGATTGAAATAATTCAATAATAATATGTATAATCGGCAAAATCTTGTAAAACGATTAATTAGCGATAAAACTCGGCAAAATCGGTTTAATTTTTTCAATTTTTTAAGTTTTTATAAATTATATTAAAAAAATTTTGAAGGAACATTTTGTATTTAAAATTCTATTTAAAAAGCCAAAGCCAAAGATGTAAAAATCAAATTAATCAAATATTTCTGTTTCACAAGATATATTGGGTGGAGATTATATCACGTGAATTGATGTTATATACTAAACTGATTCATTATATTTTGGATCGAAGATAACTTCCAAATTACCAAATTTGAGCAGCAGTATTTTCATTATCAGTAGCCATGAATAAATAATTTGCAAATTTATCTAAATATAATTAAGTGCAAACGCATATCTTAATTGAGCATCAGGAACCCCTTTATCGGTGACTTTTCTAAACGACATTTTGATGACATAACCTTGCCAATAATAATAGCCTAACCAATACTTTGCTACTTTGTTACATATATCAAAATGATTAAAAAACCATTGATAAGCTTTTTACTCTAACATTATTTGATCCATCTTGAAATAAATTTAAAATGATTTCAATAAATAATGTAAACATTTAAAAGCGTAATTTTTATGTCAAATATTTAAAAAGATTAAAATACTTTTTAAAAACAAAATGATTAGATTCATCTTGGAAAAAAGGTAAAAAGTAAAGCAACCAACCGATCATATTAAAATAGTCTTATAAAGTAATGCGAAAATATGTACATACTTTGTTTTATTTTTTTTTTATAAAAAAGTTAACTTTTTTTTTTATCCGACAGTTTACAATTAAATGGTTAGGGCCTAATAACTTTTTAAACAAGATCAAAATTGCTTTTTTTTATAGCAGAAAATTTTAAAAGTTTATTTTTATTTAAAACAATAAATAATTCCATAAAATACTTTTAAAAATCACGTGAATTAAGAAATCATGTTAAAATGGCTTTTCAGACATATGGGGTCTTTGCAATAGAAAGGGGGGAAACTGCCGGAAAAAATCAATTTTACTTTATATGTCAAATATGATTTTTAGGCTGAAATATGTTCAAATTTAGCATTAACTCATTTTTTAATTTTCCGGCAGTTTCCCCCCTTTCTATTGCAAAGGCCCCATATAACAATATAAATAAGATACATACCATTATTATTTTTAAAAAATTATTTTTGGTCTTTAACAAGTCATTTCGTTGATATTATCCTGCAATCTTAACGGAGGTTGACCAGCATTTCTTGAGTAAAAAGTGTAGAAGATAACGTTTAAATTTAGAGTTGTTTATAAATCTCATCTAAAACAAAAGATAAAGTTGAACAGTGGGGTAATGTAAAGAAAGTTTCAGGCTTTATGAAACATGCAAAATAACCGTTTATAAATATAACGTAAAAGAAAAAATAATTTTTTCACCTCTTGTATGAGATTTCTTCGATTTCATGATACTTATCAAAATGGTATTATATCATTTAACATACGTTATTTCAGTCAGATGATGAATCATAAATATTACGAGAAATGTTTATTAGATACAAACAAATGCAATATTACGAAAACGGCTATTGTATTGTAAAACTATCATGGCGGGAAATATTATCATTAAAAAAATTCTTTCCGCGGATTCCGAATTAAATTAATTTTCAATAAGTGTATAAGAATTACGATGAACAATAACGCGGTAATTATTAAACTTGATTTTTGGCCAGCATATAAACTTTTTGATACATTAACGTTTATAAACCATAACATATTTAATTCTACAACGCCTATTTTACTTTCTTTAGTGTTAAATAAATTGCGTTTTTTTCTATTTAAAAGTTTATATGATATGGGAGGTTTGCTACGAAAATGGGGCTCTAAAAGTTGCATTTTAATTTTTGATAATGTTAGATTAAAATGCAATAAAAGCAATAAAAATTAAAATTTTAATAAAGAATGCTCAGAGCCCCATTTTCCTAGCAAACCTCCCATATGCTTAATCAGTAATAAAATTTAATTAATAAAATTAAACACATGATATATTGTGTCTTTCACAAATATGGAACTTTTTTACAATGACGAAAATATATTCATTTACGAAATATATATATTTACTCCGCATATTTATTTCCAAAGAAGAAATGAAAGATTATATCTTTTCACTACTGGTTCAGAGAGCACGTTATAAATTTTTTCAAAAATACCTTAAAACTAGAACTTAACAGTTAACTGTAGGTGATATAATAAAGGTTTTGCCTTAATTTATGATTATTTTTTTTTACAAATGTTTTTATTTATAGCATGCTATTTTATACAAAAATCTAAAATGTATGATGCAGAAAGTTCGGTTACTGCGGAAAGTAAAAAAATATCAATGAAATAAATAAATTAAATAATTTCTTGATGTAGTGTAGTTAATATGCAATACTTATAATTTAAAATTTTCAGCTTTTAACTAAATAAAAAAATCATATTAGAAAAGATTAATTTCAAATTGAGAATAAATTACTTGTGTAAATTACGATAGAGAAAACTTTTAATTAAATTTCAGGAAACACTTTACTTCAGAAAATCGTCAGAACCATTACATTTCCTCAAAGGTTAGTTAACAGTTGCTCGTTACTTCATAATACAATGATCAAAAAAAAAAATTTCAATAAAGAAAAAAAAAATTCTTAATTTTATGAATATTTGAACGTCTAAAAAAATTATTTTTTTTTAGAATAAAAAAATTATTACAGTTTATAATTTAAATTATTTATGGTGTCCAAATCCAATTAACACCAGTGGTATTTAACGCAGTATCTGAATACGACTTATACTGCGGTAAAGATCTTCATATCTTGACAATATGTATTACCATTCCACATTCTGTTATCGTTATACAAGATAATTTGGGTTGAAAAAATATTATTTTATCTTAATACTTTTTTTTTAATTATAAAAATGTCTGACGATAAAGGTAAAAGTGTAATAATAAAGCTAAAAAATAATTTCATCAACAAAAAAAAGGAATAAAGGATACGAAGCTCAGAATGTAATATTCAAAAAGTTTTTTTTCATAAATTAACATTAGAGTCAGTTTTGGATGCTAAGGATACATCCTCATTAGAAGAAATAGAAGGTAATTCCATGTATTATTAACCACATTTAAATAATATAATAATTCATTAATTATACTCATTTTTATTCAATATTTTATCAAATAAACATAGAATCAGCTTCATGTGATGAAGGTAAACATAAATAATTAACCAATACCACGAAAATAACGTTAAACTAACCTTGGGTGATGAAATTAAATATAATAACTATAATACTGCAATTCGTTAATTATATTTTTATTGTATTTAAAATTTAAAATATAGGATTAGTTCCGAGTGATGATGAAGGTAAATACTATAATAAATATATGTATTTAATAAATATTATAATTTAAATATGTTTTTCAAAATATTAGAAGGATTGCACGGTAAAGAATATCTATCTATCACTAATCAAAAATAATATTTTAATTTGTAAAATTAAATTTAATTTAATCTTTATTTATAGAATGTAAGCCATTTAATTAAATTTTGATTAAACGTTTTAATAAACAATATCTAATTATTAGTAATACCATAGGGAGTAAGTTATCTATAATCTTTTATTGCAACTTAAACATAACTAATTTATTTTAAAAAAAAATTTTAATGGTATTTTAGTCAGTAAGTTATTTCCATGAAGTATATTATAATTAATTATAATTTTTATAATAATTTTAACTCTCCAAATTTTTATTTATAGGACGTAAGTTATGTTTATTAATAAAATTAACTATAATTGCTACTACAATATCAATCAAAAATGCTAATATATTATTAATATTATAGAAAGTTAATA